CCTCTCCTCTCCTCTCCTCTCCTCTCCTCTCCTCTCTCTCTCCTCCTCTCCTCCCCTCCTCTCCTCTCTCTCTCACCCACACCAGTACACCGTACGTGGCTTATAGGGAGCTCCACCGAAGGCCCCAGTGCCCGCGCCCGCATGCGTCACCCACACCCATTTCGGCACACCCCTCACACGTTTCGTGGCTCCATAGGGAGCTCCACCGAAGGCCCCAGTGCCCGCGCCCGCATGCGTCACCCACACCCATTTCGGCACACCCCTCACACGTTTCGTGGCTCCATAGGGAGCTCCGCCGAAGGCCCCAGTGCCCGCGCCCGCATGCGTCACCCACACCCATTTCGGCACACCCCTCACACGTTTCGTGGCTCCATAGGGAGCTCCACCGAAGGCCCCAGTGCCCGCGCCCGCATGCGTCACCCACACCCATTTCGGCACACCCCTCACACGTTTCGTGGCTCCATAGGGAACCACCGAAGGCCCCAGTGCTGCCGCCCGCATGCGTCACCCACATCCAATTCGGCACACCCCTCACACGTTTCGTGGCCCCATAGGAGCTCCGCCGAAGGCCCCAGTGCCCGCGCCCGCATGCGTCAGCCACACCCATTCGGCACACCCCTCACACGTTTCGTGGCTCCATAGGGAGCGCGCCCCCATAGGGGCAGATCTCCACCGAAGGTCCCAGTGGGTGTGCCCGCATGCGTCCCGCACACCCATTTCGGCACACCCCTCACACGTTTCGTGGCCCCATAGGGAGCTCCACCGAAGGCCCCAGTGGGTGTGCCCGCATGCGTCCCGCACACCCATTTCGGCACACCCCTCGTACGTTTCGTGGCCCCGTAGGGGGCTCCACCGAGAAGATATTCACAATTGCAGTATTCACAATTGCATATGGTTGGGTCCTTCGCCAGGATAATATTTGTTTAGTTTATCGTTTCTGTTTCGTTCTCGTTTTTCCCAACCATCCTGTGGTGTTGGGTCCTCGTTTTGAAGAGACGGTGCCCCGCGTTCTCCTTCCTCCTCCCGCTGCCCCCTCCCTCCTGCCATCATCATCATCATCATCACCATCATCATCGTCATCATCATCATCGTCATCATCATCATCATCATCATCATCATCATCATCATCATCATCATCATCATCATCATCATCATCATCATCATCATCATCATCGCCATCATTATCATCATCATTATCATCATCATCATTCCTCTCCTCTCCTCTCCTCTCCTCTTCTCCTCTCCTCTTCACCCACCCAGTACACTGTTTCGTGGCTCCATAGGGAGCTCCACCGAAGGCCCCAGTGCCCGCGGCCGCATGCGTCACCCACACATATTTCGGCACACCCCTCACACGTTTCGTGGCTCCATAGGGAGCTCCACCGAAGGCCCCAGTGCCCGCGGCCGCATGCGTCACCCACACCCATTTCGGCACACCCCTCACACGTTTCGTGGCTCCATAGGGAGCTCCACCGAAGGCCCCAGTGCCCGCGGCCGCATGCGTCACCCACACCCATTTCGGCACACCCCTCACACGTTTCGTGGCTCCATAGGGAGCTCCACCGAAGGCCCCAGTGCCCGCGGCCGCATGCGTCACCCACACCCATTTCGGCACACCCCTCACACGTTTCGTGGCTCCATAGGGAGCTCCACCGAAGGCCCCAGTGCCCGCGGCCGCATGCGTCACCCACACCCATTTCGGCACACCCCTCACACGTTTCGAGGCTCCATAGGGAGCTCCACCGAAGGCCCCAGTGCCCGCGGCCGCATGCGTCACCCACACCCATTTCGGCACACCCCTCACACGTTTCGTGGCTCCATAGGGAGCTCCACCGAAGGCCTCAGTGCCGCCGCCCGCATGCGTCACCCCCACCCATTTCGGCACACCCCCCGCATTTCTCGCACGGCAGGGTCATCACCACGGTGGCGTGCCAGGGGCGCACCATGCGCGAAGGCGACGGGGCGGGGGAACGGCGCTCCGGGGGCGGCCAGACCTCCGGGGCGCGAGCAGTCCGCGGCCAGACCATCTCTCGGTCCTGTGGACTCTCGCCCTGGGCCGTCGGCTGCCCGGCGCGCTGCTCCCTCGGTCGACGTCGCCCAGGCGTGATCCTGGATTGCGGCCGCCACGAGGTAGGGAACGGCAAGAAGGAGGACGACGACTGGTGGCTGGAGCTCTACGCGCTGCTCTCGCGCGCCACGCGCCACGAGGACCTCCTGCTCATGCGGGCGCCGCGCATCGAGTTCTTCCTGGCAGGGCCGCCGCAGGGCTTGCGGAAGCAGCTGGAGCAGTTTGCGGCGCGCACGAAGCGGCGCAGGAGGGAAGCGACGGCCCTCGCCAGGGAGCTCGGCTTCACCGAGTTCATCCGCGAGGCCTGACCTGAGGAGCGTCTCCCCCGAGCCGCGCCTTCTCTCGACTGCCCGACTAATTATTTGGCCTCGCGCCGCGGACGACCCGCGCGCGTCGCTGGGGCCCTCTCGGGGCGACCAGCGCGCGTCGCGGGAACTCCGTGCTGCGGGGGGCCCGGCGCCTCGTTCGCCCGTCGTCGCTCTGCCCAGCGGTCAGAGACTTGCCCGCTATCAGCCAGCCAGTTAGCTAGTCAGCTCTCTCTGCTTCGCGCAGCGGACGACCCGCGCGCGTCGCTGGGACCCCGCCCGGGGCGACCAGCGCGCGTCGCGGGGACTCCGCGCTGCGCTGCGCCCGCAGCCTTGGATTTTGGAGTGCGCGGGCAAAGAGGAAGGAAAAGAAGAGCCGAAAGCGGGCGCGATCCTCGCAAGAGGCGTGCCGACATGGGCGTCGCGACGTGCGGACGCTGCCGTCGGGGTTCCCGCGGAAGCTGCCTGCGGCGGCCACGCCCAGTGTCACGTGTGTTCGGACAGGCATGCTCGACACTTACACTAGGCGTGTCCATGATCGCACTCATGCAAATATATTCACTCGCGCGCAGACCCATTCATACTCAGATTCCCTCGCGCTCTGACTCACCCGCGTTCTTTCTCTCGTAATCAGATCTATCGTATTCCTTTGCGTTGTGTACCCCGCCACATTTCGGCGCACCCCTCGTGCGGTTCGTGGCCCCATAGGGAGCGCCACCGAAGAAGATACTCACAATTGCGATACTTACAACTGCATATGGTTGGGTCCTTCGCCAGGAGAAATTGTGTTCAACGCCTCGTTTCGCTGCTCGTTTCGTTTGGCATCGGTTCTGTGGTAAACGTTCGTTCTTAACATTGGGCTTCCTTTAGTTCTTCAGGGGGGGCGAGGGGGCTGGTAATGTCGCGATTTGCGCCAGCGCCGTCTGGGAATTAGCCCCCTGGCAATTCCCAAATGGCGCCAGCGCGGACCGTGACGTTACCAGGTGGGGGGGTGAGAGGGGAGCATCCTTGGTGACGGCCATTGTTGCGAATCGTCAAAAAGGCGCTCTACTTGCGAATCTTCGTGTGCGAAAGCGTACCCTCGGCGGCGACGATAGGGGCGAACAGCCAAGGGGCGGGCATTGCACGCATTCGCCCGGGAGCCCCGCCGAGGGCATGGACCTTCGGCGCCTTTGGATACATGTCATGATCTCCCCTGGGCTATTCGTCTCTGTCGTCGCCCGCGATGTCCGTATCCGCGGCCTCGCAGGCCTGGCCCCTGGGCCACGACCTCGCGGATACGGGGCGTCTTTTCGCGGATGCTCCGCGCGGAGCGCATTTGTGCGTCCGCGTATCCGTGGGATCGCGCCCCGGAATCCAGACCGCGAGGGTGCGGATACAGATCTGTTCGCCGCTCGTGGAACCCCACCAGCGCGGATCTCGTCGCCGCTGGGGTATCGGGCACTTTTGCCAGGGGTCACTTGGCTGTAGACATCTTCCAAATCTGGAGCCCAGCGGGATTTTCGGAACTCTGATCTGTAGGGGTAACTTTCGTGCTTGGTTGCCTACTGAAGCATCGGAGGTCGGCGTGGATTTCTTGGATTTGCGCCGGGTCCCCTTGGCGGCGCCTGCGGCGCCGCTCTTGGCGCCCTCTGCGCGCTCGGGAAGGGTGTCGAGCGCCGATCCGAGACTTCATGAGCTGACAACTAGCACCCTTAATTGTGCGACCCCAAGATTTCTCGGGGTGGAATTCCGTGGTGGCTATGGGTGTGTGTGTGTGTGTGTTGTCGGATCGGGGTCCCCGCTCGAATGGGAGTCCCATTGGGGTCCAGCAACCCGCACCCATACCTTCCCCTCTCTATTTCTCATTGCCCTTCCTGTAGGTTTGAGTGTGATTTTTTTTTCATCAAGGAGTCTCCTTTCCCTTCCTACCTTTCTCCCTCCTGCCCTTGCCAATTCCTTCTCGCTAGAAGTTTGGTTGTGTGTTGTTGAATTCCTACGGCCCTTTCTGCCTTTCGTCTCCTTGTCCTTCCCTATTGCTCCTCCTCGGATGCAACTCCTGGGAGGTCAAATTCTGACTTTGCCCTGGTCCGAAATCCGGCTTCATCCGGCTTGTTCCGGCTCGATCCCGCTTAAATTGGCTTATTCCCGCTTGCTCCTGCTAGATTCGTGGCCTAATCCGACGTAGCAGTCCCCCAATGTGGCCCAATCCGAGGAAGAACTCCCAGTAGTTCGGTAGCAAATCATGGGAGCCTCGTGTACCCTCGTAGTTCTGTCTTTACAGTGCACTAGCGTCGTTTAGCGTCTGGTAATCGATGAGAACGCGCCGGTCTAGCGTCGATTAGCCTCGATGAGCGTCGATTGGCGTCGATGTAGCGTCGATTAGCGTCGATTCGCAAGAATCTATACACGTCCACTGCCCGCCAGACGAGCACTCCCCGGGCGCAGGAGCTGTGTATACGCCCTCCTGGCCAAGGCAGGGAGGGCATGGCGTATACACCGCTGCCGGGCCCAGGATGGACCTGGCCAGGGAGCAGTGGACCTGTACAGGTTTCGTCGCCCTGCTTCCCCCTGGGGTTCGCCGCCGACCCTTCCCGCGCCCGCATGGTGGCGGCGGCGCCGCCGCGGGGGCGGGCGACGCCCCGCGGGGCGGCCGCGCGTGCCGCGGCGGCGCTGCTGGGCCTGGCGCGGCCGGCGGGGTCCGTGGTCCGCCGCGGGGGCCTCGAGCTGGGGCAGGACGTCGGCCGCGCGCAAACGGGGGGCGAGGGAGAGGGGGGGAGGCTTCTTGGAAGCACCCCTGCTTCCTAGAAGGCGCGGGCCCGATCTGCAGACAGATGGCCGGCGCCTTCTGAGAGGCAGCCTCCTTACAAGAAGCCTTCCCCCCCCCTCCCCCCTGCCCCCCTTCTGCGCGCCGCCAAGGAAGAGCTCGGGGAGCTGGGCGGCTTCTCCTTCCTTAGATGCTCGTTTGGGGGACCTTCCTGGGGACCTCAGAGGAGGAAGCTGCCCTTGGCCAGTTGTCCCATTTTTCGCCCTCCAGGGATGCCATCGTCGCCACCGCTGAATTCGCCTCGAAATCCTGGTCACAACGCACCCTGGGAGAGGTCGGGCAAGTAGAGGTATTGGTACCTTTGGGCCTCCCCAGGGCCACCGAACGGATCTGTTCGACCGACTCAGTTCCAACATGTTTCGTCCCTAGTTCATCTCTAGCTCGACTCTAGCTCGACTCGAGTTCGACTCAAGTTCGACTGAAGTCGACGGATGTTCGACGCAGCATCGACGCAAGAGTGGAGCTAGCGCCTCTAGGAAGGTCCCCAGAACCAGCATCTAACCTTCCTGCCCGGCAGCGGCAGGCTGGAGCTCAAGGTGAAGGCGGACCGGAGCCCTGGGGAGACCCAGCAGCTCAATCTCACACTACTGATGTTCATGGAGAAGGACATGTCCCTCTTGCGCCAGCGGGGCATTGACAGGTGAGCGACGCCAGAAAAAGGGGGTCGTCTGCGGCGACATTCGGGCGTACGCTGCCCGCGTTAGGTCCCGCGTAAGTGCCCTCGTCTCCAATGTAGCGTGCCGCGCTGGCGGCCCGCTGTGTCATCTCGCATAAGACCCGTTTTTGATCGTCGTTCAGGTGCAGCTGGTGGATGTACGCCCGCGACCGCGCATATGTCGTTCTCAAGGGGCACGTCGGTGTGCCGTTCACTTTCAGCAGCATTGTGTGGTTGACCAACGAGACGAAATTCTGCGGCGAGCGGTACATTCCCCTCGGGCCCACATTGAAAGATGCGAAGCGCGCGGCGTCGACCTGTCCCAACGCGTGCCAGGACGTCGGCGGTGTTTGGACTACGCACTGGAAGTCCAATAGTTGCGAGTGCGTTTTCAATTGCCTCTACACATTCAAGATGCCCAACAGGACCCACGCTCGCACCTTCACCCTGGATAGGTGTGGCTGGAGCGACAGGACATTGGAGAAGTTCGAGTGCCGAGGTTGCCAGCGGAAGGCTATACAGTATGAGCTGCGCTTCTCGCAGGGCCTCACGAGGGGTAAGGATCTCTCTGCCGAGTGCATGTTCCTCTGGCCCGTTCTGGTTTTTATATTGCTTTACAGCGTCATCCTCTTGGTTTTCGGGGTCGCTGGCGCGTTGCACAGGCGTACAGATGCCACTGCGGCCGGAAGCTGGTCCAGAGCACGCTGGGTGTCTCTGGACCCAGGGGTGTTGTTGCCTGCGCTGCAGGCGCTGCTCTGCGTGGTCGGCATCGTGTGGCTGCTGATTGTAGCTGAGTGGGGCGAGGATTTTTTGATCACGCGGGTGATCCTCCTCTCCAGCTGGCTGACATTGGTCGCGGCTGGGGTATTGCGGCTATTGGCAGAGGTGCCAGCATCAGCTCTGCAGGGGGCGTGTCTGCAGCTCCGGAGCCGGCTCCCCATCGGCAGGTCGCGTTTTCCAGCCTGTGGTGGATGCTCTCGCCTGCTCAAGCCTATGTTTTTTATCGGGAGCGTGGTGCCGACACTCCTTACCCAAGCCAATGCCCTCTCATTAGTGGGAGCGGACTCTGGATTGGTATCGCTGCTGTGTCAGTCGCTGTCTGTGGGGGCCTTGTGTTGGGCCAGCCTAGCCTGCACCCATGGCAAGCCCAGCGGCGCTCCGTGCCTTGGCGCACTAGACGCCCGCGAGGCCAGGGTCCTGGTAGCTGTTGTTGCCTCGTACCCGCTGACAAGCATCTCGGCCGCGCTGTTCGCGAGGTACCTGCGACTGTCCATGTATCTAAAAGGCTGCGCTCGCTGCCGCTGGCCCCCTAGCAGGGCTCATTTCGACTCCACCGACTCGATTCGATTTCGATGGGTTCCGATTCCGATTCGATTCGATTTCGGATTCCGATTTGGATTGCGGTTTATCACAGGAGTCCTTTCGGCCTGCCGAGTTCTGCCGACTCGACTTCGCTCGACTTGGTCGCTGATTTCCGCCGATCCGATTCATTCAGATCGCCGATCCGACTGATCGATTCGATTTTGGGCTCTCCTGCCCCAGGGTGAGCCACCTTGTGGCAATGTTGGGCAGTTGTGGGGCCACCACGGGATGCTTCGGGGGCATCTCGGGGCCCCAGCAGCCCATCCTGAGGGAGTCTTGTGCCACCTTCTTGGGCCTCGTTGGCCCTCCTGCGCGATCTGGGCGGCATCCTTGACGCCTCATTTCGGGGCCACCTTCGGACCCATCAAGGGCCATCTTGGGAGCAACACGTGCGACAGGCCAAACATGTTGAGCACACTATGGCCTTTCAGTGTTTTTTGCCCCCTTTGGGCCTTCTTAGGGCCCTCCTGGGCTACCTTGGATACGCCTTGGGGCCTCCCTGGGCTCTCGAAGCCCTCTTCGGAGCCTCCTGGGGCAGTCCTCGTCTCCTCTTGGGGCCTCCTGGTCGTGCGGTCGCGCCCAGTGGGAATCCTGGGGCAACGTGGAGCGGCCAGAAATTTGAGTCCCCCCCTGGGTGTTTGTTCTTCGGGGGGGGGGAGGGTCAGGGGAGCCCCCTGGTGGACCGGAAATGTGGAGACGGGATCGGAGAAAACAAATGCAAAGAGCACTTGGCAGCACACATCTTCGCCCCTACCCCTGAGGGTTCGAGCGCCGCTTTGGTGTTGGACAGTCCCGCTGAGGTCGGCTGCAGGCTTCCTTCGGAATCTGAGCCACAGTCGGTGCTGCAGGGCGGGCACATGTGCTTGCCCAACAGGGAGCACGCGACAGCAGCCCAGCAGCACCCCCCGCAGCCTGACGGCCCACAAGGGGGACGGGCGGATTTCATTGTGCCATTCGACGAAGAAACACGTGCATAAACATAAGTTTTCGGAGCTCCGCGCGGATTTCCTGAATCGGCGCTGGACCCCTTCCTTGGCGCGCGAGGCACGCCATGGGGGTCGCCGGAGGTGCCGCCAGGGGGGGCCCAGCGCCGAGCCAAGAAACCCGTGCGGACCTCCGAAAGCTTGTCTTTCTGCAGTTCTTCTTTTTCCAGCAATTTTTCGTGCAGATGGGGTCGATGCTGACGCTCACGAGGCAGCTGCGCGTCTTGGTCGTGTCGCTGGCAGCGGTCGTCCTGTGCCAGCTGGTCCCGCACGCCTCGCTCGTCTGGCGCGCGGGGGAGCTGCTGCCCGTTGGCCGGGCCGTTCTCCCGCTCGGCTTCGAGAAGAACTCGCCGTGCGACTACGGCGTCTTCGACACTCCCGTGGCGCTGTTTGACGGAAAGCCCGTGGATCACGTGGCGCACGTGTTGAAGCACACGTGGTACAACAGGCGCCCATTCTTTTGGCTGTCGCAGCCGGTCTTCGACGCCTGCGACACCATGATCAACGCCAAGGGCAAGGTCAACAGGGTCAGGTACGGCTACGAGCGCAAGTACCCGTCCACAGGTTGCGTTGCGTTCGTGCTCGCCACCCAGCTCTGCAAGTCGGTGTCGCTGTACGGCTTCGGCCCGGACAGCACGCGCGACGCGGAGCAGCCCGCCAACGCCAATGGGAGCCAGCAGGGTCCAGCGACGTACTCGCTCTTCAAGGAGAAGGCCTTCCTGGCATTCCACGACTTCGGCACAGAGCATGCGATCATCAGCGGCTTCGCGCACGCCACTGACGCGTCTGGCGTCGTCAAGCAGTGGTCGAAGAGAATACTCAACAACGCCACCTTTCTGAAGCAGTGGAAGGGCGCCGTCCCTATCATCCAGAGAGGCCTGTCGTGCGCGAAGGTCCAGTACCCAGGCCCCGGCATTACTCGGTCACACGTCAACCTAGGACCGTGCAAGAGTGAGCCTCTACTGCGCCTCACCGAGGAGCACTGCGTCGAGATGGCGACTGTTGCCCTGGGCGGCCAGTCGGGCTGGGCGGCCACGGGACCGAAGAAGGAGTGTGACGTGTACGAAACTTGCACGGCTTGTGATGGCAAAGTCGGCGACTGCATCATCGAAGGGCTGAAGATGGTTCGCATTGAGTCTAATGGGAGCAAGGGGTCGGCTCCGCCCTGCGAGAGGCCCGAGCTTGCGGACGGAGTCATGTCGCCGCTGATAACAGACTCCGCGCGAACGCAACTCAGGAAAGACCTCGCCGCGTTCAAGAAGGCAGAGGTCCCTGGCCTGGAGATCTTGCTGAGACCAGACGCGCTGCATCCAGAGCGCGCGAGGCCATGGGACACGTGTGCGATCGTGGGCTCAGGCTCGGAGCTGGCTGGGCAGAAGGCTGGGGCTGCCATCGACGCGCACGAGCAGGTGTGGCGGCTGAACACGCAGGTGGTGCACGAGATGTACGAGGATCTGGGCAGAAAGACGACCCTGATCATCTCCAACCACCACGCCTGGCGCCGCATCTGCTATCCTTCAGCCCTCTGACGTGCAGTGCAGGGCGTGCCGAATGCGGGTGCTGACTGCTCTTAGGTGTAGGGCTCCTTGTCTTAGACGGGGGCTCCAGTGTGGGCAGCGGTGGCGCCTTCGCCATCCAGCGCGCCAGTTGTAGGGACGCACGGCTGCCGCAGCTCCTCCTGTCTAGAATCTCCAAGCCCCGCCTTAAAGCTCGCAAGAGCCCCCCCAAAACAGCCTGCGACAGGTGGTCTGGCCACCCTGGAATTCGAAGGCCAGTGGACGGTTTGGGGGACCCCACGAGGCCACACGACCCAGGTCCCCGGACCACTCGCGCGCCCCGAGCCATCCCCGATTCACCAGAGGGCGTGGCTTCCAGGCTGTCCTGGAGGCTCTGGTCCTGTTCTTCCTCCTGCTTCTTCCTCACCGCCCACCAAACCACCCCAACCCAACCCGAAGGCCCCGATTTGCCGTCAATTTCCAGTGGGGCGGGGGGCGGGGAACATAGAAACAACATATGAAGCCCGTACCCTCCCCAACCCGAAATTCTTGTCTTCCCGGTTGTGATGGGGTGGTCTGGTAGGTAGTCACTCTTCCAGTCCAGACGCTGGAACGAGGACCACTTTGGATTCAAGAGGGGCTCTGGTTTTCGGGCCGTTAGGTCCAGGTCGGGGAGCCTGTTCGTCGCCGGGGCTCGTCGTGGCCAGAAAAGTTCGTTCCTTCCTTGTTTGGCGCTCCCTCTGGTGGCACGATGGGCCGTACTCTTCCTTCTGCCTCTCTCTACCCCGGTCTTGGTGGGAACGCATGCCAGTCCTGGTTTCCGCAGATGCCATCTATACACCGCCACCGTGCCCGGCCAGGGCCACCCTGGGCTCCACGATGGTGTATAGACCCTTTTGGCGGCCTCGACCAGGAGGCGTATACACTATGCCAGGGCCCAGGATGGCCCTGGCCAGAAAAGTTGGTGATGTATGGAAGCCTTCCGCGTATAGTTTCAGGTCGCGTATAGCTGCGCGGGGAAGGGCGGAGTGGGCGGGGGCCGCCGCCGCGCTCGACCTGGCTCGGGGGCACAGTCGGGGGGGGACCTGGCCCCCCAAGGGGGAACGCACCGACCCCCAATCGCCCACTCATCGCCGATCTGGGCCTGGGCCCCCCCCCCTCTGACCCAGGAACGTGGGGATTCGCCGTCTGGGGCCTATCTCGTCAGGCGCAGTCCACTACTCGCAGAGTGCCTACCCGCAGACGTCCGAAAAGCACGTGCTTGCCTCGATGTAATGGATCGTAAGTTGCCCGTGGCGGATCCAGGCCATTTGCGAGTATATACTTGGCGAGCAATAGAACGCACGCGCGTGTCTATTATCGCCGATCTGTCGCCAGCTCCAGGTCGATGCCCCCCGCACCCTGAGACGGTCCCCCCCCCTCCCTCGGTCTCGGGCGGGTGGTAATGGGTGGGACCCAAATGGGTGGGTAAAGAAAAGGGCCCTAAAAAGGGTCCTGCAGGATTGATTTTGGGTCCAGAGGCCCCACAGGGCCCCTCGGGGGCCATTTTCTTCACCCCCAGGGTCCCCCCCCCTTGCCACTCGGCCGAGGTAGGGGCGGGGCCACCGGGGGGGGGACACCGGCCTGGAGTCGGCGACATATCGTCGATAGTAGACACGCGCGTTCTACTGCTCGCCAGGTAGCTACCTCGTAGATGGCCTGGATTCGCTGAGGGGAATTTACGATCCATGTGGGTCACCCCCCAATACCGTCAACGCACCGAGTAAGGACGTGCGCCTTCATCTAGGGTACCTGTACCCTTGTGTTCTTGCCTCTGCGGCCCGTCCTTTGCCGTTCTCACTTTCCGCCCGCCGCCCCCCAAAAACCCAATTGCGGCCTCCAAGGGTTTTGCGTCCTTGCCCCTCGTCCTTGCTGCACGTTTTGACTGTGCCACTCGTCCGACTGTCCGACTTGGCTCCCTCGCTGGCCGACTCGGCTCCCTCGCCCTCCGCGCTCCTGCGGCATCCCCGCTCCTCGGGGGAGCGGAGCCCTGCCCTGCCCTGTGCCTCCGCGCCGATGGAACTCGGGAGGGAACAGGAAGGAACGCGCCGGTTCCCAAGGGAAACGCGGGAAACATGGGCAGCGGAGGGGAAGACGGACATCCAGGAAAGATGGGAAGATCTGGGGAATCCGTGGATTTGTGTCCGTTTATTTGTGTGTCCCTGGGCCCCTCGAGGACAGCTAACATGGTATGAGGCGCGTGGATCAGCGTCGGGCCCCCGTTTCCATGCGAAATCGGCGGGCGTTGCCGCAAAATGAGGCGGCACAGGCCTCGTGTGTCGGGAGTACCTTCCCCGATCCTTGGATCTGGCGCCCCTACTCCGTGTCTGCGCGCACCCGACCGCAGGCCTACGCCTGGGCCAGGCGTCGGCGTGCGTCGGCTCCCCGACCTGGGGCCTGCAGAGAGGGCCAGCATCGTCGCCCGAGGGCCTGGCCGCAGAGCCGGGGCGTGCGGAAGCCTGGCGGTGGTGTGTATTTCCCTCGGGTGATCGGGGAAGCGCAAGCACGGATTCGGGCGCGCGCAGAGGTGGGTAGGGGGAGGGGCGAATGCTTCTTAGAAGCGCCCCTTCTTCTTAGAGGGCGCGGGCCTTATCTATAAATGTAGGGCTGGTGCCTTTTAAGAACCAGCCTCCCTCAAAGAAGCCTTCCCCCTCCCTCTACCCCCTTGTGCGCGCCGCCATGATGGCTTCGGGCGCCCTTGTGAGCGACGGGTCTCGTCTCCATGTGGAATCGATGCGCTCCGTCACCAAATCGGGCGGCACTGGCTGCAAGTTTCGGGGAGTGCTTCCTCCGATTGAGGGAGCTGGCGCCCGCGCGCCAGATCCAGGAATCCTTCTTTCATTTTGGCGTGCGCCCGAGATAGGGGCCCGATAGCCCACCCCGCCCAGAAACGTGTGGATTCGCTATTGAGTGCCCATCGCCGATCTATCGGCGATGCATCGCCGATGCGCATGGCGCGTGGATTAGCGATGGGTCCAGTCTTCATGCGACATCGACGCGATCCATCGTCAAACGAGGCGGGCGGCACCGGCTGCCAAGTCTCGGCGGGTACTCTCCCCCGATCCGTGAATTTGGCGCTCACGCGCCAGATCCACGGACCCCCAGTCCATGTCAGCGTTGAGGCATTTTTTTTCATCTTCTGGCGATACCTTGCCGTGACTGGTTGTGGGGGGGGGGGCGGGCTGGTAACGTCACGATTCGCGCCCGCCGGGTTTGGGCATGTCTAGGACTAGCAACTTCCCAGACGGCGCCAGCGCGAAGTGTAACCTTCCTGGGGGGGAGGGGGGGGTGGCAGGGCGGGTAACAAGCGTTACCGCGAATCAGTAGCAGATGGGCTCGCGTGCCTGGCACTCCTCCCACTTTGCCGCGGCGCCGGGTGCGGCGGGCCGTTGGGCTGTGGGCAGGCGTCGGCGACCTCCGCGAGCCTCAAGGACGACGTGAAGCAGCTGCAGGCCGCCCGACGGACGGGGAGGGAGAGCAGCGGGCCGCCGCTCCCGGCCACTTCCTTGCGAGCCGCCGCGCTCGCGGCCGCGGGTACTTTGTGCCCCGCTGCTGCGGGTACCCTCCCTCCTCCTGCCCTCTGCGGCCGCTCCTCGTCTCTTCCTCTGCCTCCTCCTCCTCCTCCTCCTCCTCCTCCTCCTCCTCCTCCTCCTCCTCCTCCTCCTCCTCCTCCTCCTCCTCCTCCTCCTCCTCCTCCCCCCCTCGTGCACGCGGGACACGTCGCAACTCCGCAGCCCGGGCTGCTCGGACGCGCGTGCGGGCTGCCTCTGCCGCGCTGCGACGCAGAGCGTGGGTGTGCCGAGCCTGCTCGGTTCGCCTCCCGGGGTCGTGGCGGTGTACGGTCCTCTTGTGCGCCCTGCTCGCCTCGCCTCTCTTCGCCTGGCCCTCGCGGGTCTCCGCGCTGCTCTGCATGACGCCGTGTGCGCTTGCCGCTCTGTCTGCACGTGCAGACGCTTCGCCGAACGCCCTCAAATCGACACGGCTTCGGGGTAATTCTTGACGCTTCGCGTATCCCCACCAGCCGTTTGCGAACGCATCTCTGTTCGAGGTTGTCTTCCCGGGCCTGACGTGCCTTGTTCGGTTACAGACACCACGAATTTCGCGCCATTTTGGCTGCGTTGGTGCGTACTCTGAAGCTGCGACGGTTCGCTGGCGCTGTCAGAGTCCAACCTCTCCCTACGGTATGCAGTCAGGCGACAGCTTGCGCGTCTCTCGGACGCTTCTGCTTGAGCATGGTTCAGACACCCTGGGACCCTATGGTACGCCATTCGCTGCGCCGAGGTTTGCAGACTCCCTATTGTTCAGATCGTGTACCCAAGCGGCGTACTGCTTGGCCATGGCCTCAGACACCTTGGGGTTATTTGCATCGCGCCATTTTGGCAGCGTAGTTACAGACTCCCTGTGGTGCAGGCCCCTGGGCGTCAGACGCCCTGGGTTGCAGCACCCTTGCACCCGCCGCCCCGGCGCCGGCCGCGGCCCGCGCGCGCGTCCAGCCAATTAGTTTCGGCCGCAGCCCGACCTTTACTCGCCGCCGCTGGTGCTTCCGCCCGTTTTTTTTTGTTTGTTTTTTTTCGTTTGGCTTATGTTTGTATTATATTTTATATAAAGTATCCCCACCAGTCCGTAGCCCTGGCGCAAGCCATCTCACGGGCCTGGCTCCCTCGGGCCAGTCTCCCGTGCTCAAGGGGGCGCCCGACGCTGCGCCACGCCCGGGCCCGCGGAGCGCCCGCGCCATTGCAGCTGCCCCCCTGGTGTGCCGCCCGCGGCGCAGCTGGCCCCCGCTTGCAGCAGGCTGTGCCCCCCGGCGGGCTCCTCGGCGCTTCGGCCAGATGGAGGGCGGGGAAACCAATCGATCTGACAATATCGAGGGGGACGGGGACCACTCAGTGCAGGGCGCGGGAGCCCAGTCACTGGCCACGGTCGCACCCCCCTCAGACGCTAATCAGGTTCAGATCCCTCACAGACAGCAGCCCCCCTCCCCCATCGGGGCAGACCAGGGGCCAGCACCAGTGGCGACCGCGACGCCCCCAACGGCGGTGCGCAGCGATCCTGATCCAGCCCAGATGCATCGCCCCTCGGGGCGCGGTGACGATCCAGAAGGGGACGAGGCGAGGCGACAAACCCCCAGGGACGCTCTCGAACCCCCTCGAACGCTCTCGAGCCACCACAGTGAGAGCGGCGGACTGGATGG